ATTAAACCAATTTGAATTTGATCAATAGATGACTCCCGCAACTAAGATTTTGTTAGAAGAAAACTAACGAAATGTTTGTAGTTTAATTTTTCAAATTTAAATAAATTTAATTGATGTGATTCTCATTGCGTCTGTGTACATATACAAAATATGATATGTGTTGTCTTGAAATGTCAGTTTGTTTTTAAAACGTCCAAATTAATATTTTTCATCATATATGATAGGATCATAATGATACAAAAGTACAGTGTGCCAGTTTATTATTCACAGGAATTACATTGACTGCCGATAAGACACACATGCAACAGTGCCGAGCTTAGTGCACATTGCACTCAGCACACTGAGATATCACATATGATAGTCAAGCTTGGGAGAAAGGGTGTATTTCCGTACAAAAGTTGTATTTTTGAGTTGAAAAATCATTTGTTGCAAGCAACCAAAATGCTCCTCAGAATAATTTCAAAACCTGAAAATTCATTTCTGCATCATTAAAAATAAGATTCTCAAAGTTTTTAATAGTGTCGAAAAGTGTGCTTGAATTGTAAATATTTGTCTTTGTTTGTATAGTAATAACGTTAACAATAATCATTACATCGAAACATGGCAGAGCTCTTGAAAAAGATTCACACGCTCTCAAAAGTTGAAAAAAATGGCTCTACATGAAATTCGCTTAACTTTTCTGGACAATTTAATTTTCTGTGACTTTTCAAACCGTTTTTTTAAATAACAAACAGAATGTGTTGCGAATAAACTCGTTCGATTACTTTGATTTCTGGCATCTGTATGTTCTCAGAGTGTGAATGAGTTTTCATACAAAAAATCATCTGCGTGGTAAAAGGACTTGGCGACAATATATCCGTGTGTCTCGATTACTGTCTGTACTCGATCTCTTCCATTATATTCTAATTTAAACCAATGATACCATAAACTCATGGTTTTTTTTGCTTTTCATCTCAATAAAAAGAGATTTTTAGACAATGCTTATATTTCCATCTTAAATGGCATTTGTGCTTCAATGGCTTTTATATTAAAAAAAAACACACACACACAGAAATTGGAATTATAATTTCATTGAAAAATGTGTTTGCATTACGATGATTTCATGCTGATAGACCGATTGAACCATAATACAAACCATTGATATTGCTGTCACATTAAAAAAAATGCAAAATAATAAATCGTCTCGCCAAAATAAAATGGGTTAAGATTTCTTTGTCTATAGATGAGCACAAAGGGAGTGTCAGACGATATATTTAAAAAAAATCGGAAGTGAGAATTGAAATACGGTATTATGTTTTGGATGGGCTTTTTTTGTGGCTCCGAGGAAGTGTTTCCATCGTTTAATTCTGTTTTGTTTGAGATAATTTGTTAATTCGTCATGTGATTTGACTACAATGAGGTATCAAATCACACAAAAACAATGGAATAAAACGAATCTCCTGTTTTCGTGTGTCAAGTGTCTTTCGAGATTTAATCAATTAGTAAAAACAATTCATTAAAAAAATGAGCGAAAAAGGGTATAAAAAGATGATTAATGATAATGATATTTTAAAGCATATTGTGAGCGCAACCATTGTTTAAAAACACATACACATTGCTTGTATTAAAGCATGTAGAAATGCCAAAAATGTTTATCAAAGTCCTTGAGTGTGTATCACGGAATGAAATAGGGCGAGATGGAAAAGGAAATAAAAATTGGCAAAACGAGAAAAATGGCAATAATCCAAAGAGCAAAAAAGGAAATGCATTAGGTTTTAAGCGATAATCTTTTTGAATATCAGTAAATTAGTGGTATTTAAGTTCTATTAAGGATTTTCAGTAAATTGTTTCTTCTATTGATGATTTCTTTTTTTGTTGTTGTCTCCAACAATACAATAGTTGCAAATTCCCGTTTTTGTTTTTCTTCTTTTTCTTTCGGGTTATTATTTCGAAGCAATGTGCTGTTTATGTGAAGCAAACGTATTTAAGGCGTGCAATGTTTTCAAAGCGGTTTTGTAAAATGCATGCTTCAGTGTAAGATTGAACTTGTGGTATGCATCACAGAAGATTATATACATAAAGAGCCACAAAATGGTTTTCATTCGACAGACTTAGGTACTGAGTCGATTTTTGCCTTTCACAATATCCAACACAAACATCAAAAATTAGATAACTATACACATTTTCACATAATCGGAAATTCCCAGTTTAGAGAAGTGTCATAATACCACAATCGTTCAGTTCTCTCTTTTTTTTGTCAACATCTTGATCCGGATTTTCAAACATCTTTTTTCAAATGATGTTTGTTTTTTTTTTTTTTTTTTTTTTTTCATTAATAGAGAATTGAATGATTATTGATTTTTAGTTCATAAAAATAGCAATTTGATCACTGATTAAAACAGATTATAGTTCAAAATCGAAAGTTAACATATTACAATGAAAAGATTCAAAAGTGAAAAAACAAAATTTTAATTTCAATTTTCAACGAGATAGAATTTGTCTCGAAATAAAATTTATAATATCAAAAATTCCTCGAAACCAGACCTCCAGCCTCTAAATACCCGTGCTACTCAATGTGATTATTTGATAGCATGAGCAAAAGTTGTCTAGGATTAGATGGTAAAATAGAAATATAAAATAATCGGATGAAGTCTTACCAACTGTCACTGTCATCATCATCATCATCACCACTTCCACTGTCATTGAAAATGCATTGGTGTGTGATTGTTTCCAATCATTATAACCATTTATAACAATATTAAGTGACAATATGTTCGAATAATACACTAAAAGATTATATTACACATTTGGATTTTCGATGTATGGAAGTGTCAATAGCATCAACTGTTTGTTGTCCCACCAGTTGCGTTTTCACACCGGAATGGTGAGATAAATTCTTTATTTTCCTTCTTTTTTTTCTGCCAGGGGGTTATTGAAATCCATTTGTATAAGTGGTAATGTATGGGTATTGGTGTCGATTACATTCAGGTGGTCACTATAGAAATAAATTCGGGCGAGACAATCGAATCTATAAATAAAAACATATTTCAAATATGAACCGACCATGTGCTAAATCGTAAAAATGTTAAACAACAATTTCAATAATATAAAAATGTTGTTGTTGTTGTTCATAGGTGAACAATACCTTGTGTTCGGAATCTGATAATAATATTTGAAAGTGCCGACTGGACATGAAGAAAAACATAAGTTTTTGACATTTATTTGAAAGAAAACGAAAATAAATGAAACGATTTAAACGCCATTTCGAATATTTCAAACCCCCGATTACTTTTCTTCGGTTATTTTTGTACTGTTGCAATAGCTTTGACGCATATAAATCAAAAGATGAGAAGCAGTATATCGATGAATTATATGTGTTGCTGATTTAATTTTAATGGTTTTTTGAGTGGCTTTTCAAATGGTTAAACTTACGCGAAGTTGTGTGGAGATAGACAAAAACCGTACACAATACAAAAGTTAACTGTTGTGTGCGCGCATTGGTTACTATGCGTACGCACGTTCGTCAAAACTCGTTCAAATCAATCTCTGCAGAATACCGCACATTTCCACCGAAGTCCGCATTTTAACCGTTTTGACTTGAAATCAAATTAACCAAACTAAAATGTGCACATAACTTTTTACGACTGCGTTAAATTCCTTGAGATTTTTTTTTACATGAACTGTAAGACAGTGATGGAAACAAACATGACTCGGAAACCAAGTAATGTATCGGATTTATGTCGTGACTGTTCGTGTTCGTTAAATTTTGGATTTTGCTCTCACTTCCGAGCATAAACAGTTCGTCAAGAGCTCGCGAACAACATTTGAAATATGGAAAAGTTCCTTTTATTACTTTTTTTCGATGGTTCACATTTGTCTCGAATACGAACCAAATTTTATGATCAGTATTCGTTTGTTTTTGTTCGTTCAAAGAAATCAATCACATTTCAAAATTTTATGTAATCTATTTGTTATTTTGTACTGCATACAAAAGTGAAGCGATTTAGTTTGGTTTTTGTGATATGTTTGCATGTTTAATATATATTTTTTAAATAAAATAACTTTTCGTTGTGCTATAGTATTATTTGAATATTGTAATTTCATCGCAATTCGAATTTAATGGTATGGTAGAATCGAAGTTTTCGTAAAATTCCGTTGAAAATAAAAGAGGTGTGTGTATAAAAATATTGCTTCTATTTCAAATATTCAATCGATAGATTGGCGATACAAGATTTCAACGATGTGGCATTCAGATTTCAATACCAATGTTGTATTTGAATTTTTCAATCTGCTGAAATCAAAGCATACTCATTCTCAACAGCACTTTTTAATTAAATGGCCAAACGATAAACAAGTTCAACCAAATGGTTTAACTGATTGCTCTCATTGATATGATTAGTATAATAAAATGCATAGACTAATATAGATGTCATCCAACAAATGATTCAGGCCAAGTCGTTATCGTTCATTTAAGCAATGAAGAGCAATTTTTTAAAAATACGCCATTTGTTCATTTCACACAGAAACGATTAAGGCTGCACCCAGAAAGCTCATTAGGTCAATCGATTAATATTTTTGCTGAGTTCGAAATGGGTGGCGGTATAAAGACGACGAACGGATATTTGAAAATGGTTGTTGTGCATGTAATCGGGTAATCTTCAAATCAAACTTAAAGTTAAGTAAAATACCAAATATCACGTCGAAAACATAATACGTTACGCATTTAAGTCATTCCAAGTAGTCGATTAACGAACATTGTTCACTTGTTGCCAAATCTCGTTCAAGTGTGAAGACACTTTGTTCGATAACATCTATCCATTTTATGTCCTTTGCATCTTGTTCATCTAGCTGGAATATAGTGTTTCGTGCCAACAACTATTTAATGATTGAGTTACAGTCCTTGAATGAACTTTAGGCTGTTATTATTTTGTGTGTGTGTGTTTTCTTCTTCTTCTGAGAATTCTACCTATGAGGGATTTTCACTCGACGAAAACTGACATGGCATTAAAAAACACGAGTAATAAAAAAATCTGTCTATTTTCATATATACATAATATATTTATGTATATAATATAGTTCAGTGCGACAAGTAGTAACTGTCCTTTATTTTGACATTCTTTTCACAATTCTCTTTTTTATTTGCTTATCTTACTTAAATGTCTACGTGTATATATATTTTACTAATTTTTTGAGTTGTTTTCCTCTTTCCTCATATTTTCCACACATTTTTTCTTCTTCTTTCGTGTTACAATATTTACATGATTTTAATTATTTGTAACTTATATTTTATAATATTCCTTATGTAGTTATCTTTAATTGATACAAGAGTAAGGTAATTTTGAATGCAGAATGTATGTTTTTTGTTATTATTTTGTTTTTTTGTTTTGCCTAAATATTTGTGTGAGAGAAATATATTAAGATAGTTTTTTTGTGACCAAAATTTTCTGTTGTAACTTTAATTGTTTAATTACCTCTGAATTTTTGAAAGCAATTCCCAACATTTTTTTTGGCTGAATGGTTATGAGCAGATATTGTATCGAGATATTTTCAACCGGCTAACGCCAGGCGCTGAAATGGAGTGAAAACAAAAGAAGTGATTTTTATAGGCGTAAAAACACTTCCGTTGTTACAAACACTATAACAATCACTTCTGTTGTTTTCACTCCATTTCAGAGTCTGCAGGATAAAACTGATATCTGCTTAGCCTGACGTTGGCTGTCTGAATATATCTCAATAGAATGTCTGATTATGAGTATGAAACAAAAATATGAAAGCACTGAAAGAACATGGAACGAGGACGTGAATCTTGAACTTGGGAAAAAGTTACCGTGTACATATTGTGAGCAATCTTCTTTTTATTGTTCAAATTCGGATATTTTTTGCCAATAATTCCCATCTCAAATCGAAGTAAATCAAGAGCATCGCCTCTTTTCCAATCTTTCCAAATTTACCGAAATTCATGCCAATTCAGATAAGTTCAAATCATAATTCAAAAAAAATGTTATTCAAATGTTTCTAATCACTACAAATCGTTTTCAAATAAAATACATTCTATTAAGAAATAATTCCTGAAACCTGTGCCCTGGAAGTGAATAACCATTTGAGTATACGGCTCGTAGTGTTGTTTCTTTTCCAACCGAGGCGAATCAATTGATCCATCCTCTGCTCATTAGCACCTCAATACCTACTGGATTCAGCAATTATTACTAATTGTGATATTCGAACAAGTATGACTCAATAAATTATCAATATCGATAAACAAAAAAACATTTGTCTTTATTCTCGTTTTTTTTTTCTGAGAAAAATTCTACATTATCGTTCACAAAGTTTTATTTTAAATTTTAACAACACACAATGGTGAATTTATATGCACGTAAACAAAAAAAAAAAAAGAAAAATTGATATCTCCGTCAAGTACAAAGCTTGAAATGTTTCAGATTTTCTTTTATTTTCTCAATTAGTTTTGCATTGCTTGTTTGCCAGTGTAGTGTTTCCAAAATAAAATGACACCTACGCTTGTATTACGGCAGCCAACATATATTCTGTTTAGAAAATATTAATAGTTGTTCTCCAAACAATTCTTAAGAACTATTTTATATATTCATTTTTTTGTTGTTGTTGTGTTTGGGTTGTTTTGTTGATGTCTTTTCCCAATGATTTATCGGCGCTGATTAATTTTTCAACATAGAAAAATAAATCTTGACGATTTTTCAATGGAAATACCCTCTGATTTTAGCGTAAATTCTTCTTAAATATAGTGATTAGAATGCATATATAAACTGTTTTAGTTCGCTTTGAATGCATGCATATTTGTTCGTTACTATATTTCTTCGTTTTGTGTATGCTTCCTTAAAATTCAATCGTTCGGTTTTACAAGTATTATTAGCGTAATAAACATTTGTATTTAAACTAACTCACCTTGGGTTCTTTTTTTTCTCTTTTAATTTGTGCTACTGTAGTTCAATCAAAGCCATCAAATTTAAATATTTCGTCTATGTGCTTCTTTACCACTATTTGAACCATGATTTTTTTTTCGATCCATGCTAATTTCTTGTTTTGGGGCGCACAGTGCTCGTATACTGTATTATAATAATCTCTCATCTGATTGGTATGAACATTAAAAAACACGTTCGGTTTTTACGAGAAAACAAAATTAATGTAGGCCAACTTTTAATTCATTCCAATGTCAAGCTAAACTTCGCACTAGTATGAAAATTAATTCTTTTTTTGCCATTTTTTTGTGTCAAAAAGTAATTTAATCGCAGGATAAAACCAAGCAGAGTATAGTCTATTGACGTTTTATTTTTTAAAGTAGAGTCGTAATTAATGTATGATTTCTCACTCATAGTGGCGCAATGACATGGTAAAGTTTGTGTTTTCGTTTTTTATTGTTTCTCGGAAAACCTGGCATGAGTAAATGTGGTGTTGGTACTGACTCCCAACACATTAGAAAAGAGAAGTGCGAAGTTTAGTGGCATTTAGAAAGAGCAAGTTTAAATTCTAGCTTTAAGCACTGATTGCCCCAAACATTGTTCTAGAAATAGATACATTTTATTAAAATTGGTATATAGTATTCATATTTCACTTCTTTCATTGTTTAACATAACTGTCGAAGTTGATTTTCTTCGTGTTTTTTTTTGTCATTTAATTTGAAATATGAATGCTTGTATTTTGTCGTTGACGAATTCAAATTGCCAATTGATTCGAACCATAGAAGGAAGTACATCGTCATTTTCATTCATTATGAAACCACCTCACATCACGTGTCTTTGGGCTGGGGCGACGGTGAAAATGGTCGATGCAGTGTCGGTGCTCCCGATGTTGGATTTCGTATTGTACTTGATGTATTATTACCACCGACTATTCGAACAATTCCATTTGTACGATGCGTGGGCATTTGTGTTGTTGATCCTAAACCCTAAATAGAATTTTAATAAAAAAAATGGAATAATTTTTTTCTATTAAAATCCTTATTTCTTTGTCTGTATGCGCTAACACAATTATGATTTTTATTTGTGAAAAATAAAAAAAAATCTATATAATTTTTCCATTATTTGCATTTGTTTATTTCATTCAATCGATTCAATTACAAGTCATTTAAATAACACTCTTCCGTTTTTTTGAATCAAATGAAAAATAATCAGTTGTAAATTTTATTTCTAATTTTATTTACCGATGTCATATCAGTTGAATTGATGCGGTTCGGTGAACTGACACGTATTCGAAGCGGTGACAATGTTGTCGCTGTACCATTTGTTAAATGACTGCCGGCGGCAATGGTAGCTGAAGATGGTAGTTGTGGTTGAGGTCTTACAACCGTTGGTATATTCATATAATCGATTGAATCGCGTGAATCACGTGTGCTCAACGGAATTCGATTGCCGTTACCAATGTTTGTCATTGCAATTGCTGTCGGAGGTGAATGCGTACTAATCGGCGGTGAATTATCACCACCAACAAATGGGTAAGGCAATGTGGGTAAAAAGCGACTAAATGCTCCTGTTTGAATATTTACAAATTGGAAAAAAATTGGAGACAATTGAATATTAGTCACATTATTTGAAATAAAATCTAAGTTCATTCTTTGAGTCTAAATAATTGAATAATGTATTAAAATTCTTTGGTAAAATTGAATCGATTTGCGAGCGATTTGATTTAAAATTAACCATAAATATATTGCGTATTGTATTAAAGAAAACACATGTATGTGAATTCGACTGACAAAAATGTTTCAAATGAATGGTATTTTTGAAATTTTGTATCAATTTTGAAGTGAAAGAAATGATGGAAAAAAACAAATAACTTACCAGCCATAGCGGGAGAATGTGCATCAAATGAAAATCCACCCAAGGAAAAACTTCGAAAATCTTTCTCACGATCACGTTGCAAATCGTCATGCATTAAACGATCATCGTTACCACCGCCCGACGTTGAACCGGGACTGTGTTGAAGTGACAAACTGCTCGGTACCGGCGAATGTGTTCCCAGTGATATATCTGAATCCGAATCGTCTGATGGTATTGGCGATGAATTATCGGTTTGACGTGACCGCAATGATGTGCCGCCCGAACCAGACATCGGTTGATTCATTCTGTAGGTTAAACGATAAAATTGAAGAAAATCGATGTAATCACGCGAATTATTGTATGAAAATCAAAAATTATTAGATTGAAATGCGTAGCAAACGGTTTCGATGGTGAAATTAATGCAAATGTAATCAAATCGAGTATGAAAATCACGGTATGAATACTAAAATTTTGGTTTCACTTCGATGAAGGCGATGCGGTGACGCAAAAACACACACACACACACAGCAACATCACGAAATTATTCACCCCATGTGCTTCACTTAGTTCAATGTTTTACGTTACATTTTTAATATATTAGGTATTTTTATTCTTCGTGTATTCTGAGCTTCAGTTTACTCAAAATCAACAGTCATTTGTACTAGTTATTTTTATCTTTATTTAACGAAAAAAAAAGATAGAAAGAAGAAAATGTCAAATGTTCTAAAACAAAGTTGATTGTGTAGTATCATCCCCTTCGCGTTGTGAATGGTTGAAATAATGATAATCAAATTTATTTCCGGATCGAGCCGAGAGCAATTTCGGACTCTATAGTATTACCCTTTTTTTCGGTAGATGCTATTGATTTAAGTTGAGTTGTTTGGTGGTAGGTTATATATATACAAGCGATAAATGTTCATTCTATATCTCTTCGTTCAAATAATATAACCGTTTGTAATAACAAACTCAAATAAAAGCCAAATGCTCGTTTGCACATATTGAAAATTATTTGATTTTCGGTTTTGACACATTCGCCAACCCTTTTCGCCAAACGCTATTGACAAACTAATTTTCCAAAAGAAGAAAACACACATTTTTCGTGCACATGCATTGAAATGTACGAAATATACTAACACAACACATATTAAAAAGATTATCCGATTCCAATGATCATTTGAAATAATACAGACGTGTTTGAATGAACAATGAAGATTTTCAGATTGATTTGGATTCTCGAAATTTACAGTGTGCATTTTCGGTCCTGTGTGTGCGTGTGTGTGTGCAGATGTGTGAACGATGTGTGTTTTGCCCCCGAATATAATCGATATACTCGCTTATGTACATTTAAGATTATACGATAAGGATGGTTACTGGTACCCAGTAATGAAAAACTTCATAATTCACTGAATGAACACACTTGAATGTAGGTAACACAAATTGTGCTTAAAACCAAAATCAAATGGTGAAATCTTTACATTTTACGTGTGAAAATCTATTGAGAATGATACAATATAGTCGTATATATTCGATCGTTTCTTTTTTATATTGAAACCGAATGGATAATAGAGTGTGTTCATTTAAATAGCGATTCCGAATATCAACACCATAAAATACGAATGCTAAATAAATTAAATTACGCAAATGTGTTACACGTGTAATCGCATTATTTGTTGTGATTTGTCTATTTTTTTCGGCTTCTGATTGAGTAAAAGTGTGATGAAGGCAATCTGCAAAAGACCTAATACAGTTTTTTTTCCTCTTCGTCCCTCTCTCTCATTTTTTTGACTGCCTCTTTTCCAGTACTGATTGCGGCTTAAACATAGTGTAACATTCACACAAGCCATCAAATGGTAGCATGACAGCGTCTAACAGAAATATCACAAACAGCAAACGATGTTGTCGTTTTAGTCTATATAGTACAGCATATACAGTGTACAGCATACATACATGTGTTTGTGTGTGTGTGTGTCGTTGCTGTTACTGCTACTTTTGAGCAATCGAAACGGATGTGAATGTATTTGTGCTTGTAATAGAAGAACGGATAATTTTGTGGGTTTGTCAAATTGTGTTGACGACCAAATACAACACAACACAATCGACGCGAATGCATAGCTCTTCAACAGCACCAGCTTCAAAACGCGCAATGAGCAAGACTAAAAAAGAGAGGCGGAGTTTCACATCGAAACCGTTGAAGAAAATATAATAAAAATGTAAACATATCATTAATTTTTCTACTGCCAAAAAATTTGTCATACTAATGATTTATTCGATAAACTTTTAAGATTGAGTGCCAAGCCAATTTCGAAGAGAGAAAAAGAAAAAAACTTCTGTGTATTTCAATCGTTTTTCACTCGTTCCCACTGTGATGGATGAAATGGATATTATTTCGATGTAAAAATCGATACAAAATGCGGTGGCAATGCCAAAAATTGAAAACAAAACGTATAAAAAAGTTTGCTGCAAACATGTCGAAATGCCGTTGAATGTGCACAAGAAGAAATGATTAAGGCTGTGATTTTTGGCTGCTGGGGTTTGTTGGCTTTATTTGCATATCATTTTTGTCGAATATATATATAAAGTCAAGTGAGCGCCTACGATAATAATAAATGCATAAAATGTCACTTGCGGCTATTCTACTCGAAAATATATTTATCGTATGTCCGTCTTTATTAGAGTTGGTGGTGATGCTTTCGATCTCTTTGATATGAGTAACCATGAAGGTAACCACGAAACGTGCCTAAAATAAATCAATTTATGTGTGTGTATGTTTTTTCGTAACTGGACTACAGACAAAGAAAATTACAGGTTCGTTATAAACGATTAAGTGATGAAGGTGGCGTGTGTGAGACGACAGTAGCCGAACATTTTTTCCATACCATTTTTTTTGTGTATGTTTGTTATGCATTTGCAAAAATCTCGCAAACTGCTTTTTTTTTCTCGTCGCCAACACCATCCGGAGGACAAAAATTCAGTAGTACCTCTCAGAATACCATCATCATCAAAATTCGTATATATATATAATGTTAACGTTTTTTGTCACCACATTTGTATGCGTTTTTTTGTGTGTGTGAATTTTTTGTTGCAGCATTGAAAATCGACACAGAATTGCGACATTATTCAATTACGTACAAATCGATATCTTAATAATGAAAAACGAGAAAAAGGTATTTAGGTAAATTGTACAACTGGTGACACTTGTAAAAAGTGTTTTTTTTTTTTGTTGTGGTTGTTATTTCCACCGATTTAAATCGCGTATGGTAAACAATTGCTTATATTTTGTGTGTTCATATTTGAAGTATAGAGGAATTTATATCGTTTTACTGGTTCTCGGTTGGTTTCGCGCTCTTTCTCTAATTCAAAGTAGGGAAATAAGTACCATTGAAACGTTGAAATAATATTTGAAGTATTCTCAACAATTTAAATGAAAAAGAAAAAAAAAATGAAATATACGGACATTAATTGTAATGTTTTGAAACATGTTTCATGAAATTTCTTGCAACAAACTCTGTCTGTTCACAGGCAGATTGAATTTGGTTTCATTGTTACAATTGAAGAGTATTTTGAACCCCAAATTGAAAATAATTTTTTTTCTTCTGAAATAAAAGCCGAGTCCGACATCGAAATGACTATTCGATTAAGAACTATTTATTTTAGTAGTTAAATCATTTCATTTCAAGTGGTTTGAATCTTTCACACGCACGCCCCATTCTCTTAACATAACGTTAAGGTTTATGCAACCACTTCAACGTAATTTCTGCAGTCAAAACATTTAAATCGCCCTCGAATTTGCCTGCTCAATGAATCGGCTCTCTTTACCCACAAACAAAAAGAAATTTATATATATATATGAAATTTAAATCGTTTCAAGAATATTGTTTCATAATACAAACACATTTTATGAAATGCAATCGAACAACTTCTACAATTGAAACAAATTGTGAAACGGTTTATAAAAATCAATCGTTCAGGAAAATTGAAATGAAATGTTCCAAATCGTGGGAAATCACTTAATCGTTTTTATTTAAATTACATTTAAGCAAAAGCAAGCAAAAGCGAGCAAAAGTCTATTCAAATTTCAAGTTGATAAATCAAGATATTGCAAACATAAAATACCCTTCGATCATCAAATAGAACTAAACCATACTGAAATCGTGAAATAAACGAAACGGACAAATAGCAATTCTATTTGTATAGCATCTATTTATGTTTTGACTGATTTTGTATATTTAGTCATCATATTTCAATAAACTAAATATAGAACTGAATAAATACAATTGGGATAGTTAGAAATGTTAGAACGTTTTTGAAAATGAATATCGAATTTGATGCAGACATATTTTTTTGTTGTCAGAGTGAAGGTGTACACCATCATCTGTCATTAAAGAATCAACTGTAATAATTAGATTCTGTGCTTGTGCCGTTGTATCTTTTCTAATTATATGTTCAAATTAACAAACATGATCCAATTGGTTAACAACGTGTCACTAAGCAATTTTGTGAGTTTTTTTCTGCCATTAGTTCGGTGAATCCACAATCTTCTTGTGTGTTCGTAATGTCATTTAAAATCGAATATCATGTATCAAGGTTTTTAAGAAGTGTGAGTACTACCTTTGTTTTTTTTTACTTGTTTTCGCTCGTATATCATGGATACCGTTCAACACGCTCTCAACGAACTGATTTTATTTTAGTAATAAATAAATAACAATTTTTACTATTTAGATTGACTGATATTGTGCATCAAATCACTTGGTTTTAGCGCCGTAATATATATCAAACAAAAAAAAACATTAATTTAACATTGAAAATCGATTGAAAATACAGACGTACAGATATTTGCAACGAATTCGAACCACAAAAATTGAGGAACATATGAAACTATTTTTTTACGAATGAGCGTCGGAATCCGATCAGAAATTCAAAGATACATCTCAACTTTTACGAATTTGAAAACGGATTTTTTAAAAAACTGATAAAAAATCAATTTGACTCTGGTTTTGATTTCCAATTAAATTTGTTGCAATTTTTTATTAATAATCTAAATGAATAACTGTAATTTGATATGTTCAAAATGTCAACAAAAAATGCTACAAATTTTATTCATATTTCTTCATACGATCGTAAGAGAGAGAGAGAGAGAGAGAGAGAGAGAGAGAGAGAGAGAGAGAGA